AAGGAGACAGTGATTGAAAAAGACATGGAAGCCATGCTTTGTGATGTGTGATCAGAAGTATCTGAAACAGGAGGGACACTTGGCATTATTATTATTATGTCATTAGAATACTTGATCCAGCTCATGCAACATCTCAACTCATGAACTCAGGGAAGCTCAGAAGAACAACTGTTCTGAACCATTAAGTCTTTGGGAGCACACCTTTGAAATTCCTTAAATCTAGAATCTCTTGAACCAGTCATACTTACAAGATTTGATCTGTGTTTGGAAACATGCTGTAGAGAACTGTCGTTTAACAATTGAGGCAGACCGCTAGTAGAAAAAAAGCCTGAATGACTAAACAAATTCAGGCTGAGAATAAGGTGAATTAATGTTTGGAAAAAACAGAGAGTTGAAGTGGATGTTCCTTTGGTACCTGTGGTCCTAATGGGATGCATGAGAGAGAGATGGTTGATATTATAAGGCCATTCTTCATAACCTTTGGATGATCATGGCAACTGGAAGAGGTGCCTGAGAGCTAGAGGAAAACAAATGTCAAAAAGAGCAAGTAAAAGGATACAGGAAACAACAGGCAGGTCAGCCTCACTTCAGAAGGTGATGGAGCAGCTAATTCTGGAAACCATTTTCAGGTGAATGAAGGACAAGATCAGGAGGAGTAGCACAAACTCACCAAGGGGAAGGGAGCAATGTGATGACCTTCTTGACCAACTTGATAACCAGCTATGATGAATTGTCTGTCCTGGTAAATGAGAAGAGACCACCAGATTTTGTCCAGCTTGACTGTAGTACCTCACAGAGAAGCTGATGGAGTATAGGCTGAATGAGCAGACAGTGGACAGGCAGAAAGCTGTGTGAGCATCCAGGCCCAAAGGGTGATGTTCTGTGGCACGTAATGTTAGTGACAGACCTGGGGGTCCAGTCCTGTTCAGCATCTTCATTAAAGATCTGGATGAGCGGGCAGAGCACACCTTCAGCAAGTTTGCAGTTGACACAGAGCTGGAAGGGGCTGATACACTAAAGAACTGTTCAGCAAAATGCCAAGTCCTGCACCTGGAGAGGAATTCCCCCTGACATCAGTACAGGCTGGTGTCTGACCAGCTGGAGAGCAGCTTTGCAAAAGAGGTCTTATGGATCAAGGTGAACACCAGGCTGACCATGAGCCAACAACAGGCCCTCACAGTAAAGGCCAGTGGTCTCCTGGGTTGCATTAGGAGTATTCCCAGCAAGTCCAGGGTGGTGATCCTTCCCCTCTGCTCAGCACTGATGAGGCCAAAGCTGGAGTGCTGGGCCCAGTTCTAGGCTCCCCAGTACAGGAGAGACATGAATATACTGAAGACCATCCAGTGAAGGGCCACAGAGATGGTGGACTGGAGTATGTCTCTCTAATAAAAGGATACGAGTACAGGAACAGCACAGCCTGGAGAAGAGAAGGCTTCTTAGGGGGATCTTATCAATGTCCATAAATATCTGAGGGGATGGTGCAAAGAGGACAGAGCCAGGCTCTATTCAGGGGTGCCCAGTGATGGGAGCAGAGGCGATGGGCACAACCTGAAACACAGGAGCTTCCGTCTAGTCATTAGGAAACTGAAAGATGTGACAGAAGTCTGCCACAGATTGCCTGTGATGGTTGTGGAGTCTCCAGCCCCACAAATACTCAGTAACTGGCTGTTGTCACTTGATGCACAGTTCTTACCTTCTTTTTAAATCTTTAGACCTATTTGGTACTTCAGATAGAGAGACCAAGTACAACTTTTTATAAAGATTTTTAAATGTTTAAGTAAGATGCTTTTGAAAAAATGTGAAAATTGCCCTAAAAGCTCAATTGTTTTAATGGCTAATAAATAATTAAAGGTAAATCAAGAGAGATACTTGAAAATATGCATGAAAATGTATATATATATACACCATATATAACAAGTGATATTATTTTGTAACATTATATCAGTACTTTCAAATAATTGAGCCTAAAACCTCTGAGCTAGCCTAATCTGTCATAAATCAATGATATTGTCCTGATCTATACTGTTTAGAGACATGAGCATACATAGCTATTATTATTTTTATTCCTATCCTGAAGCAAACTTTGGCAACTGAGAGGGTATGACCTTCCCAGTATAACATACTGGTGTCCCAGGAATATCAGATGTTTTTCACAAAGGATCAGAGATGCTTCTTCCAGCATTACAACCTGGAAAAAACATTCCTTTCATCAGGCGTGGAACACAAATTTGTGGAAAGCAAAAAAGAATTCGAATCACCCTGACAGTTTTTTGAACTTGCTCATACTCAGATGATTACAGTCACTCACACACAGACCTGAAATGGTTTCAGCGAGGTTGGAAAGTAGATTGAAGATTTGTGTGGCCTCAATTTTTCTTTTTGTTACAGTATAACATTTAAGTGAGTTTACTACTGACTTAATCCTCTTATAAGCAAGATTTGAAAGTAATTCTTTTATCTGGGTAGTGTAGTGATAGTGCCCTATTCTGCTGCGTGGGAGGTTCAAGAGTTCGCTCCTTGGGTCATCTAAGTTTGGGCATGTCAGTGTTGCAGCAGTAATGTTTTCAGCAGTGTCAAATGTGGGTCTCTCTTGTAGCTTGATGAGACCTTGTGAAAATACCAGAGGTATCTAAAATTAATTAATTCTTTTCCTTCTGAAAGAAGGTTATGGATGTGATGAATGAAATAAAGTATAATTTACTGCAAGAGATAATGACTAAAAACCAAGGGGGAAAAAAAAGCAGTAGCTAACTACATTTAAAAATAGAAAGTTATATATACCTGTAACACAGTTAAAAGCTGTTTTGCTGTCTGAATTTAGCAAGCAGACCTGGGATTCAGCCTTAGTGCTGCTAATGACTGGAGGCATTATTGATGTAGTGAACTAATTACCCATGTGATGAAGTTGCCTGTTGGAGGTTTTTGACTGCTTCATCACTGTGGCACCTCCTACAGGTTAATTGACAGAGCAGCACAGGTAAAAACCTCCAGGTGGAGGTCATGCTCTCCTTCATCCAGTCACAGAATCCTAATGACAGCAGTAAGTAATCTAGAGATGAATATTTTCCTGAATTATTGATTGAGTAGAGCTTTATCAATGGTTGCATCACAGAACTAAAGTCTGTAGTGCTGCACAGTCACTGCATGGGAAAATGCATATGTAGGAACTTTAAAAAGAAAACCAGAACAGCCTTTCTCACCTGAAGGAAAACCCACAGATATTAAAAGAAAGAAAAAAAAAAAAGAGTGGTAGGATTCTTGGATTAGTGGGCAGGACAGGAGCTGCAGGAGCTTCAGTGTTTGACTTAAAATTTGATCTACATATAAAATTATTTTATTTAATAAGGAAAATAATGAGTACCAATGTGTTCTTTCTATTTTTTCTTTTGCTCTATCCATTGATGAAGTAGAATATAAACTTCTGATATATGGGGCAGAAGAATTATAAAATTCATCTGAATGTTATTAGTATAAAGACATATTTAGGGTTTTTTTTTTCTGTTTTTAATTGTGGCATAGCTAAAAAACCTCCTGGGACTAGAAAAGCTACCACTGCCTTTGTTCTTTACTTAAAGCTAGAGCTGTGTTGTAAATAGTCTGTATTTTTCATCTAAGCTTAATATGCTGTAGTATAACAGGATGCATTAAGTGTTCTCTAACAACTGCAGAACTCATCAAGCAAATGGAAAGATTAGCCCTGAAATCAAGCTTCAAACTTTTATTTTCTCACAATCAATAGACAAGTAATGCATGTTGGATTTATAATGATATGAGATTGACTGCTTAAATCCTTTTTAAAGTTCAAAGCTGGAAACAGATTGTGTCTACAAGCAATCCACAGCAGAGTTTCTAAGCAGAGGCTTGTGATAAATAAGTGAAATTGGGTTTGACTGAAACAGCCCATCAGTCCCGTATGGGTTTAGCAGGAAGATTTCAGGCTCAAAAAGACAGAGGTTTGGAGAAGCATCAAGCACTGGTTTCACAGCACCTGAGATTGTTTTGTGGAGTCTGCTGGGAGATGTAAAGAAAAGAGGCTCATTAAAAATGAGTAGCACCAGGGAGAATGATTGAGCTTCAAGTACACTTGTGTTTTTTAGCTTGAAGAGTTTAAAGGTGAAGATACATTTTAAAAGCTCAACTGGCAGATGAGAGAATGCTGTCAGGTTTCTCAAAGAAATCCCTTTATATAGAGATAAATAGCATGTTATAGTAGTTTTTTGACAAAATCAAAGGAGAGAGAAAAAAGCAAACCCAAAAAATTACTCAGCTCAGAATGTCCTGATAGTAGGATGAAATAATAGTTAATCTCTCAGCTATCAAAATTGGATTTTGATAAAACAGGTTGTCTACAGTCCTGCTATCTGATAATTTCAGAGGCAGTATTTACTGCTTGTAAAAGCTGTGAAATCTGGGGAAGAAGTTAGTCTTGGGGCTCCCCTTGAGGATATTCTATCTGTAATAGCAGTTCAGCTATGGTATCTTGAAGTTTGCTGTCGGTCCACTGCCTTAGAGATGGCTTTTACCTAATCAAGACTTTGAACTGTTTTACACTGTTATATGTATTTACTTTAGAAAAACATGATATTGAGCTTTTAAATCAGAACTTAGATTCTTACTTGCTTTTTTTCAGATGTAATCTGAGCTGTTAACATACAGTTGTTACACAGTAGTTAAAGTAATATAAAATATCACAGGTTTTGATTAGTCTGTAAGGAAAAAGGATTGCTTGTCAGTGTGTGTCCATTTACCTAATGCTGGAAGACGGGGCATGAACAAAGCCACATTGACCTGGGAAATAACACTTTGGCTTGACTTGTTCAGTCAGAGCAAGTGTCCTTTGGCTTAATCTGAATTGCAAATTTATGTAATAAATGTGTTGAAGCAACATGGTCCTTTTTTTTTCATAGTCTCATAGCATGAAGTGCAGCTGATTACTGTTTGTTTGGTGAAAACTTGTGTGGCTCTTGGCACAACCATAGACAAAAGAACAGTGGCTGCTCAGTGTGCTACTTAAGTTTGCCTTCATTCACATCCATTCATTCCTGCCTATCCATTATAACATGGGGAAAAACTTTGTGGGGGGGAATTGAATGGCACGATTTCTAACTAAGAATGAAAGTGTTGGATTTTAGTAATTTTAAGAAAGAGGAGCTGTTTTTGGAAGTTATTAAAAAGTGCCTTAGTGAAAAACAGATTCCACTGGGATCAGGAATTTAATGGCTTTGTGAGTTGAATGGCTAGCAGTGCTGGTTGTGAAAAAGGTGTTCTGACTGTCTTTTATTAGGCTGTATTTCCCCAGAGCCCTAGGATGGATGTAGCATGAAAAGGTTTGTCTTCATGACAAACTGAAAATCTAATGCGGTGTTTCCTGAACAGATGTTAGAGAAATGGTCTGGTGTGGTCTCATAATCACAGTCTTGATGATTGTATGCTTCTGAGGTTATACTGTGTTTTAAATAGAGTGTTGGGATGAGCAGACCCAGCATTATGATAAATTTTGGCTGCAAGGCATATGTTTCAATCTCTTCCTCCCAGGTGGGATGGAAGAAAAGAGTAGGTTTTCCCACCCTTTTTTTCCTTCCTTATGAATTTCATTTTATTTTGCTTTATTTGCTTTTTTTTGCTTTATTTTGCTTTTATTTGCTTTCCATTATATATGATTTTTTTCTTGAATATCTTCTGTGCAGTTCTATATTGTTTTCCACTTCTACAGTTTTGTGGTGCTTTCCAAATGTCTTTCCCTGCTCTTCTCTCCCCTTCCCTGGATGAATCTTTCTGGGATAGCTCTACTGTGCTGTTTTGGTGAAAGATTCTGGGGTGCTTGGGTGAGGTGAAATGAAACGGACTAAGCAGTTTTTAGGATAATCAGTTAAAAAAGTGGAATTAATATGAAACTACTGAGAGTAGGCAGCTGTCCTATTTGGTTGGAATTTGCTTATTTTTGACACATCAGCACAACTGGTTACATCCCTCATAAATACCATATTGGGATGGTATAATAATATAATACCATAATGGTGAGTGATTCTTGAGTTTACCCTTTATCAGGGTAGCACTTCACCTAAGGTAACAAGTTAGGATTTTGCCTTTAGACATTGGTAGCTCTGTACAAGCAAATGAAACCAGGAGAGAGTGACATCAAATTCTTAATTTCTTACTGTGTTTAGATGTTTTCTTTCATTGCATCTGTACATGCTTGAGCATATTTTGGTGATAGATCTTTCCTCAGTATACTGAAAAGAGAAGCGAAGATAAAATTGCAATAAAATCTAAATGAGAAAAGGTTAGAGGCGTTCTACATAATAATTAAATTAATAGGGGCAGCATCTGTTGCCAGTCTAAGAAATCACAAATAGATGCTGAGTGGAAGAGAGATCCCTGTGGAATGTGCTTTGTCCCTCGGCTGACAGAAGGGTGAAGTGCTGCTGACTGCTGCTTCAAAGTCGCAGCTGGGAGGGGGAGTGTGGTCCAGGAGCTGCACTGAAAATCACACCTCTTCCTTTTCTTCCCTAGAAAAGAATACAGAGACAGTATGGGGTACAGTTGTGGGTTTTACTAGAGATTTCCAAAACAGAGGTGTCTTTTCAGATCCTTTAAGGGGTGCTGGATGGTGTCAAATTAAAGTATGCCTAATTGTTACCTTGTGTGAGTGCACTGTGTGCATTCCACCCTCCTGATCATGTCCTTACTAGTCTCCATTTCAGGTAAATGGGGAAAAAAATAATGTCTCCCATATCTCTGTTCCATAGCATCTGCTTTCTTTGCCAGCCAGGATGACTGACTGCTTTTACATGTTTAATAAAGGGGTTCTGTGCACTTCTGGGTGGTAGCTATAAAAAAAAATTAAAGAAATCCTATGGTATAAACGATATGAAATAGGTGTGCAGATGCATTTTTGTTTTTCTCAGTAGGCTTTTTCCACTGCCAGAATATAATTTGAATTTTTAATTCTGTTTTAAGTATATGAAGAAGGTTTCTTTTGTTATTTGTAGGTCAAAGCTTTATACTGAAATGTTTCAGGCTGTTTATATAAGAGTTTTTTTTGTATTTTGAAGCACATTTTTGTCATGTATTTGTGATAAACAAGATGCAAAACATATGGGAAATCTGCCTTTTGTTAATTCATTTCTGTAGTGGTTTTGACCAAAGTCCAGAATTTAATCATGTTCATTCAGCTCCAATAAAAATGTAAATCACCTGTCTCCCTTTTGCAACTGGTATGCCCAGCATGATCTTTTTTAATATGGTGTGTACATCTGTAGGTTAAAAAGATGTTACGAATTGGACTTCTTGTTGTTCTTGGAAAATCTTTGCAAAGTACTTCTCATATGGAGCTTTTTTTGGTACAAAAGTTATCCTAACATACGTTTGTAAAGTAAATTCCTTAATCTAGAATTCAAATTAAGCATAAATTAGTAATTTAAAAGGACAGCAATGCACATGGAAAAAAGAAAAGAAAAACAAAAAAATCCCACCAACCCCCTCCCTCCAACAGCCACTAAAATTTATCCATAGCTGTTATGCATACAAGAAATGTCTCTTACTATTAACTCATGTCAAACTGGAAGAATAGCTGTTAGTTTTAACACCCAGCATGATATCCTCCCTTTAACTAAAGCATAAAATTTGATGACTTCTGCAAATATGCTTGTTTTAATAGTACTTCTCAAAATAGAATCTCCATAATACATTTCTACATAATCCTGTACACTCCATAGAGGATTGAAAACTCAGGTATTTCTCTTGGTAGATGTCCTAACTAGTGACAACTGCAGCAGGGTTATAATTTGTGTGTGTAAGCATGTATGTGCACTTGCCCGTATAATTGATGCCATACGCTAAGAGAAGCTATCACTAATATTGTGAAATCGAACACCCTGACATTAAATAATGCCAGAAATAAGTTTGCTCATAGAATATTAATGTGCACTCTTTTTCCCATGGGCCTCATAAATATTCACTGATACAAAAATGACACAAATACATGGATTGTATTTGCTTACACAAGATAGATGATTTTTATTTTAAGAGCCTTTATTC